GATTTTCCTTCGCGAATTTTTTACAGTATTATTAATAAAATTATTCTCGCAAACAAATTTTTATCACTCTTGTTTTATCGTATTTTTTCACCTTTTGACAGGATATGTTTTATTGGCATTAATATAAACGCCTCGTCCAATTAATTTCGGGATTCGTCGGGAATTTTCCGTGCATTCATCATTTGTCGAGGTAATTCCAGCGCTAGCGGATCTTTTTAAAATAACGACGTTTATGAATCATGTTTGTTTATGCTCATTCATGCGCGTTTTATGCGCATTCAAGCGCGTATATCATACATTAAACTGATCTACAATATTCGCGAATGTTTCATGCGATTACGTCCGATTTAGACGAGGTGGATATTTTCTTACACCTGACTAAAAATTGAAAAAATCTTGGCGATTTTTAAGCAAAAACTGTGACATCGATATATTTTTATTATAAAAGTTATTTTCCTAATTATAAATATTATTAAAATAAGTTTTGGTGAGAAAAAAATAATTATATATTAATCAATAGTGACAATTTGAAGTTCTCAAGCGATAAATGGACTTAAGATAAGGTCTTTTATTGTGAATACAAGAATAGAATAAATTTCAAAAATGTTAAGACATTAAAAAAATGCATCTTCGAAAACGAGCACATTTATGAGCGCACCTTAACTAAAATACGACGAATTCCCAAAGATCTTATTATTCGTATTGCATTGTGGTCCGCAATGTCGAATAATGATAAGACTAGGGAAGTTAAATGTCAGCTCGATAACGTCGATACTACCAAATTAATGTGTATATATTTTGCGAGAAACGTCGATATGCATTTTTAATGTAATCATTATTTTTAAGCATCTTTTTCTGAATAATTTATTTCTCTGAATTATTCAGACGAATCTATCTTTCCTTAACATACTATTCTTCCCATAATTAACAGAAAAGCGACTGTCGAAATAAATGAAACAAAAATAAAAAAAATTATAGGATGATTAAAAAGAATAATTAATATCCTTTGTCAATACATTTTTCATAACAACACTTTATATACAATGCTTTAAAAAATATTGAAAGGTGAGTAATTATTGCCACAACTTATCACCTCGTTTCCATTTATCTATGCGCAGGTAAGCTATAACGAGTCGCAAATGATCACTTTCTCGTTGTTGCCGACATAACGATACAAGGTAGTTTACATAAGTATGTGTCTCTTTAAATTAACTACTAACTATATCTCTCTTTTTGCAAAGTTTACACGTTAAAACGTGACCTATGCAGAAAACTGTAATCGTGGAACGGTAGATTCATATTTTTGTGTAGATACGATGAAATATACGATGTAGGAAAATAATTAGAGATATTGTGCAATAATGTATTCTGAATAGGATAAACGTTAATGTCATATCAAGTCGCGTGACACATAATCATGTCTCTAAAATGAAGGTTGCCATAACAACCCGTTGGGGTTGCTAACGTTTTACCATATTCTAACAGGATCGTTACATACAAACTGACACTTTCCAAAGCGCTAATAAATTCTCTTCCAATAAATCTTCATTAAATTATTGCAAGCCAAAAGTGGCCTAATTCATCAATTCATCAATCACTTTGTGAGAAACAAGAAAGGTATAAATAAAAAAAATAGACATTAATAAATTTAAAAAAAATACGCAAATTACTTTTTCCACATCTCATATTATTATATTATATTTATATTTTTATGATGAAATTATATTTATGATTAAATTTTTATGATTAAATAATATTTATATTTATATTTTTATATTTCTTTCTAAATATCGCTTATTATGTAATATTCTCTTCTTACGTGTAATTATTGCCAGTTAAACAAAACTTTATCTTTGGAGCTTCCAATTATCGCGGAAAAATTGACAAATTCGCAATTTCCTCGATTTATTACGGCACTCCTTGACCTTCCGCAATCTTTCTAGTTGTTGAAATTTATATGACAAGTTCCCGCTGTAAAACGAAACTTCTTATTGTATTATTATTGCTCGCTTATACGACCTGCGTCGCGGCTACGAGTCGATGATGTTCTTTCGAAAATGGCTAGCGAAATATATACACGCAGAATGTGCCTCATTCTTATCTCGATTGCGTAACCTTCAGCAACGTCGCACGCGTCCTTTGCTTTGTTTCTGGCGTTGCCGACTTCGTTTATTCCTCGTCACGCTTATTTCTACGAAACGACGAGCTCTTTACGCGCACAAATAGCGATATGATTTTAGTTTTAGCGAGCTCACGAGCTAGTATTTTAGGCGATGCAAATCATTATACGACGCCCAAGTTCCGTCATTCGTTTATTTAGAGGCTTTCCATTTCAATTTTCGCTCTAGTTTATATTTCGACGTTTTACAATCGAACTGGATCCATCAAACAAGAGCTTGGCAACGTACATTTACGAGCTTTTTTTTTTATGATACGTTAGAATGTTCGCGCCGGGAAAAAATTTCTGACGCGTTTCGAGCATAAATTAGAAAAAAATATTGATTAAAAAAATAATAAAATAAACTTGTAAATTTAGAAAAATACAGTTGCAACTTTAGTAACAAGTGTCATCGTTATATATGTGTGTATATGATTAAACAATTATCATATGTTAACTTTATCAGTTGATTTACAGGAGTTTATAATCGATATTTATTTATCGCGAGTAACACATTTGCAAGACGTCGGTGAAATCGCAGGCAAGTTGGAGCACGAAACCGGCAAATAATTACACGACCGAACCGCAATCAGCGAATTTCTTCATAATTTGCTTACGTAGAAATTCGAGCACAGCCATCAGTTAGTCACGATATAATCCCAGCTTTGTCATCAAAGTATTTTCGTATACGCATAAACGTCGAAATTACTTTTTTAATGCGTTCCCTAGGTTTCCTAAGAGAAACGCGAATGATAAATTATATCCAAGAATGCGCAAAGGAATTTCGAATAATAATTAAATATGATCTCTACGAAAAAAAAAACTGTAGTACTTTTATTATTTGCGTTCATAAAAACTTATATCCGAAACAACAATCAAAGTAAATATTAAATATTATTACATATAGATATCAAATTTTAAGCTTCGCCTATCTATATTTGAAATTTAATATCTATATTTAGACTTTGCCAAAAATTTCATATTTATATATCATAATATTACCTATCCTATATAAAAAAAGAAATTTTTTTTTTGTAACGGGAGATTTTTACGAGAGGAGGGGAGAGGGAGAAGATACATATCCCGCGGGTTATTTTTCAATCGGAGGGATTCCACGGTAAATAACCAGAGTTTTTTTGTGCAAATAATAGATAACGTGGCCTTGCTGATGGAAGTTTTCCCCGTCTCGTGTCTACCGTTAAACTCGTTAATTTGTTTTCTTTGGCGAATAAGTTGACTGTCACTCGTGCGCATGTTTTACGGCGTGACGCTTTATGGAAGGTCGAAATCGCTAAAAAATTGGGAAATAATGGGAAGATTACAGTAATTTGACGTAAACATCTTCGTCTAATGCGGAGACATACGAGGTAAACGTCAGTGTCGCTGACATAATCCGCACTTTCTACTTTATGAAGTATACTCTGCGTTTCAAGGTGATCATTACACGGTAATGTTCGAGGGGAGATCGAATTATACGCCATCGATTTTTCAGTTTTTTTTTTGTCTACCTGTATCTTCGATCTCTGTGCCTCGCGTACAACCGACATCAGCTTATATCACGATGATATTATACCGGTCGTATATCAATTTAACAAATTTATAATACTCATTAGCTATTCGAGAGACTGTCGAATTATAGCGATAATTTATTTATTCGATTGATCTTTCAAAATCGACGTTATATTGATCGATTTGAAGCCATTGCAAAAAAGTAAAAATTGCGAAGTAATTTCTGAAACATGTAACAAGACTTCATTCTGCAGATATTTTCTGACTCTTTAAGAGCATCTTGCTTTAAGACTCGCTAGAATCGAGATACTGCAAATTGCCCGCGGCCAATCAGTCTGCCATAATCGCAAAGAGTTTTATAGAAATTTTCGTTCGGCTTTTCTATAAGTTTCTTCGATAACCAATTAATAGTCTCGATCAATTCTTCATATTAAGCTTAAATCGATCTCGAGAGATTCGAAGTATCTACAAAATGTCGAATATTGAAATTTTTGCAAAATCGACGAATTCCATAAGCCAGAAATTAATAGTAATAGCATGGCTTTAAGATAAAAAATATAAAACCATCAACACGTATATTTTGCGTAAAATCAAAAGAGGATCCTTTTGTTCCTTTTTCTTTTTCTTTTTTTTTTACCAAAGTTATGATACATAAAATGTGATATTTTTTTTACTCGCAGGCGTTCGCAAAGTAAATTGTTTGCTTTTAAAACAGCATGCGAGAATAGCACGGATGGCATGTTTGCATACAAAACGTGATCCTCCGGCATTCGCAACCGGTAATCGAATATTAGCCCCTCTCCGTTCCCTCTCCGACTATTCTACCCGGATATTCTCATTAAAGACACGTCATGCATGAAGCGCGGTGAAAGAAGTTGCGAATGAAGTCTTGTACAGTCGTAGCACACTTGATCCGTCTAGAAGTGCGTATCGACCACCACAAAGTGTTGAATAAAGTGTTCTGTGACGTGTCCAATAAACTCGATAAAGATTTGATTAACTTTTAATATTAATCAACTTAATTAAATGTGATCAAGTTTTAATTAAATAAAATGCGACGATATATATTAATTTATCGGAAATATCTAAAGATTATTTATTTTGACACTGAAAAATCACGTCTCTTTTTCTTTTAACATTTATCAAGATTTCTGTTTTATGCGATACCCAGGTGGTTTCGAAAGCATTCTGTATTAACTCTCTAGCTCTCTTTCCTTTAACAAGTTAAGGGGTAATGAAGAGGCGCAGCTTCAAAGGGGCGATGTGGTTCATTAGGTTTACGAAAGAGTTTACAACCGTAAAAGGGCGGACGGAAATGTTCGTGGATACTTACGTGGGGGCTGTAGATACGGTGCCTTTTCTCTTAAAAGTGGGACTGGCCGATGTCGATGGCGCGTCGATAATAAAATCAACACTGGAGCACTGCCACTGCCTTGTCCCACATTACTTGCCATGCCGCTAGATAGCCCCAATAGATCACTATGTAAACAAAAACGAGAAAAAATAGAGGTGTATTATAAGACGATTCACTCGACTAGCATTACATAGTTCTTCAATATGATTGTCTTTTTTCATCTTTTCAGTCATATTTTTCTTTTTCAAACTTTTTAAATTCTTTTCATTTTTATTGCAAAGTAAATAAAACTTCCGAATTTAGTGTAGTATGTATGTAACTTTTAAAGTTTAGTAAAAAAAATATATATATGTAGTAATTTTAAAGATTTTCTCCATCTAAAATATATATTTCTACTATCTTTGCACTCATTTTGTTAGAATCTATCCTTCTTTACTATAAATCATTATAATAATTTATGAAAAATAATAAAGAAACATGAATCTAAAGCTATTTAAACTATTTACTCTAGATATTGTAGATATATGTTCTCAAATACAATAATTTCACTTAAAATTGAAATAAGAGAAGTAAGAAATTTCTAAAGAGAGTTAAAATTATTAAAAGATTAGGAAATACAGTTTAATATATAATATATATTATTAATAATATTATATATTAATAATATTATATTTAATATATAATATAAATTAAATATAAAATTGATATTACAAAAGTTTGGCATATTTGAACCTTTTTGGGAAAAATTGAAAACAAATTTTTATTTTTATAGTCTCTTTTATAATTTCTTAAAAAGTTAAAAAAGAAAATTAAAAAAAAAAAAAAAAAAGAAAGAGATATATTAAACAATAATTACACAGAGAGAAATCTACAAAAATAAATACAATTCTTTGAATAAAAATTAAATGGTAGTCATTAATTAATTAGGCTACTAATAATCAGGGATTAAACAGTATAATTAAGCTAATTTTAATTTCCCTAATTATCGTTAAAAGAATAATTGGTGGGATCTAAAGTGTAACATCCGTAAGTATTACGATCCCCTTTATCATTAGCTCGTTGCTACGCATCCTGTGATCAGTTTTTGACATTTGTCGCGCGATTATTTCCATAAATTGGAAAAAAAGAAATTTTACTTATTTTTTTTTTTAATTTTTTTTTTTTCATTTTATGTGATCCAATTACGTTTTGATTTACTAATTGTAAAACAACGGTGCTTGCGAAAAGAGCCATTCGAATGTGTGTGCAAAGGTCTGTGTTGTTTTTCAATCCTTCCTTTCGCTAAGGCAATTATGAATGAAAGATGGTACGTCGACATTGAACCACATGTGTGATGTATACATGTATGTATAACGTGAGAAAACCTCTTCTGACAGCGAACTATCAAACAAGTTTATTTCGTAATCGATATTTTGATAAATTCGCTTGGCCAGATGTGATAGAATCGAAATTTTCGAATCTTCAGTCCCTCTTCTAAAATTATCGTATGCTCAATCTCTCGGAATCACTTACAAAAGCATGTATATGAGGAATGCAAACAAATAGACGTGACAAAATCTTGTGACAACAGATTAATAGCTGAATAAATTGATTTACTACTCAATATCTTAATATTTGTTTTGTTTCACGAGATATAATCGAGCATAGAAAGCTATTTTGTAGAATCATGTTGTTCTCGTGTCTCCCGCGTAGTTGATAGAAAGTAGGTCAAGCTGTATCAGTTGAATTTAAAGAACTGTCAAAGATCTTATCTTCTTATTTGCGACACAATGTTGTTTAAGTTTTCAAGCTAAATCGATCGGAAAATTTTACGTTTCGCATTTTAAATTTAAAATTTTCTCACAATGCTATATATTTTATAAAAAAATTCCGTTAGTATGCAAATTTCCTGTAAATTATAAAAAATACCTCTTGCGATAAAAAACTTTTCGTTCATGTTGTCAAAAAATTTATAGAGAATTAATACTTTAAGATTCTACAAATATACAAAGAATCTATATTGAGAAAAAAATAATGTTGAATCAACAACATCAAGTGTAAATGGAATTTATTTTATTAATTCAGTGTAATTAGAATTTACTTTATTAATTCAATAACATTATAATATTAATCAAATCAATACATCATGATAATGATATGTCATGATCACTGATTTGATTAATAATGTTATTGAATTAAAATAAATTCCAATTACACTGATATTGTTGATTCAACATTATTTATACAATGCATAAAATTAAAATCATTAAAAAATGTGAGGAGAAATATAAATTCTTGGGAAAAATTTGTTAAATGTTTTCAACACAATACATATATATATATATATATATATATGCGATTTCTTAAACATTTAATGCCACATGCCACCTTTACTGAAAACGCGTAAATAAGTACGCAATTTTCTGTTGTTAATGTCCTCTTAATCTTAAATGTTTAGCACGACTGAATCTAATTGAGAATGATTTACAACGTCTATAAATTAAATATTGCGTAGAAATACACATTTACAAATTTGCATAAATATAAGTTGTTATATCGATGTATAAATTTTATACGATGCAAATATAGTTTCACGCGGAAGACCTTACATTTTGGAGCAATTGCTGTTTAAACGAATATAATTTTCATGCTTGAACAAACTTGCAATATGCAATTACAAAGTGAATCCCACATAAACCGAATCAAATTGTACATGATGTAAATAATATTACGTGACTTGTGCATTCCAGTATAATTAGAAATAATCAGAATAGATAATAAAGCCTTAAATTAACTTGATTAACTTTCTGGAAAATAAATTGCTTGAAAGCTATTTGCTGCCTTTTGAAACATTCATATATTCCATTGTAAATAAAAATGTACGTTAGAAAACGATAATTAAATGTAATTAATTGCATTAATCGTAAATACAAATTTGCAAAAGTAAATGTTACAAAGTTATTCGCGTATTATCAAACGCATTGCACATGATTAAATTCGAATAAAATTGAAGTATTCATAACACAATATGCAATTGGATAAATAAATATTATAGTAATTGAAATAATTTTTACAGCAATAATATATTCTTTCCGCACAATTGCCATTTTGTAAATTTGTTAACAATTTTCTTCAGAAAGTGATAAGTATTCCTGATACAAACAGATAAAGAAATTCTCGATGCGGGAGATCCATCGCTTCGTATGAAAAATATATTTCTCGCGATTATAACGAAGTAATTGACCCGACATTAATCTCTGCGACGTTATTGATCGAGATAACCGACTAGATATAACAAGAATAAAAGTTTCGCGTGAAACGAGATTAAATAATTAAAGCGATCGTAATTCATTCCGTGCCGTTTTAATTTCGAGATCCTTTACCGGTTTGCTCCGCCAATCTTATTTCATGCGGAAGCGAATTGATTTCGCGTCGCAAAATTTGCTCAGAACAACGAGTCATACTTCTCCGAAAATTAAATCATAAAGACGACGAGGACGAGGACGACGACGAGGAACGAACGGCTAAGAGCGATCACGCGCCCGTTTACTTGGTCCTATCTCCGAACAGGTTGTCGTCGTATGCGCACACACTTTCGCAATGGAATCCCAGTTATTTCAAAGGCACACACGCGTGCACACGCATAGCCTGTTCCCGTTGCCCGAGATCGGCGTGCGTGAGTGCGTGCGTACGCGTGTTACATACTACCGGAAAGAAGTCGATGGTAAAATACACATTGATGAATGTATGCGCGCTTCTTCACCTCTCCTAGATAGGTTTGCTCTTAGTTGGAAGAAGCGCAACGTGTTCGTGTATAAAGTATCGAGTCGTCACATATCAAGTATTTGGATTTCCGAGAATCTCGAGCTTACAGAAACAGCTTGTTTTATTCATGTAAGTGCGCCCGAATAATTAAGCATGAAAATAACGTCACGTTCAGTTTTAGCGAAATTGCGTTCGCGAATTTCTTTCGATAATTTTCGCGGGAATTTCTCTCAAATATTACCATACTCGCGTAACATTGCTTTTAAATTAAAACGCGATGTATCATATTATTAAGAAAAAAATGGATATCGAGTGTGGAAAATGAAATTTAACATTCAAGATGAAATGATTGAAAATTCTAATATTTTTATATTTTTTCATCTATTTCCTATATTACATTAAAATAAGAGCATAAAAGTAATTTATTTTGAGAGAAAAAAAAGAGCAAGTGAAAGACATTTTCAATCATTAATCATTTAAAAACGTAATAACTCTGTCAAGAAAAATTTCAATTTTTCACTATTAACGATAAAAAAATTTAAGTTTATAAAAACAAAATATTATTTTTTTCTTGAAGAAAATTTTTATAGTGTCTGAAATAAAATATTGACACCCAATACGATTTTTTCTAATTTCTCATGTTACTAGAATGCCTCTCGTTAATATATTAATGATATGATTATGCAGATAAGCATTTCTAATTTCACATAGGAAATATAAGCTCGGAAAACAGTATTGAAAGTTTTATATGTTATATATATATATGTATGAATAGACGTTAGGATTTCACTTTGCGACGAGAGATACTTTCGCGACATCGTGACATTCAGGCAAACTCGAACTTTGGGGAAATTCGCTTCGCTCCCAAAGTACCTTCGCTACTGGTACAAATGGATAGTAATATCACTCGGCACTCAAGTGCTTAAGAGATATGGATGATATAACATCTTTGAAAATTCGTCCTGTGTACATTGTGCAGAATTTTTGCTTTGACATTTGTATATATATTCTATTTTTTGCAACAGAAAACATGTTTCTACGTCAGTTCTCTCAGCGCATTTATCTTCAAAAATTTATCTATTCTAAGATATTACCCTCCCAGGTCAACTACAGCAAAGCGGAAATAGCTAAAAATTTATAGTCGTGCAACACACACCATATATCTTTGAAACTACGTTACTTTATATGGATATCAATCAGCATATATGATGCTCTTTGCAAAACTTATTTAATTTAAAAAATTTTTTTAATTCGTTAAAAGAAAGGAAAGCTGTTTTCCAATTATAATTTTTAATTTACCTCTGCATATAATTATTAAACTATTGTGTGGTGTATTATTTATACACACTACGTCAATTGTATCTTCATATAATTTCGAGGAATGGATATTTATATTCGTATCACAAGGATGTGGATATAATTAATCTGCACAAACGGTTTTGATTATTATGCAGCGTCACGATTCTAATTTATAATAACTATATGCTTGTAACGTGTCAGTAATATCATTCTTGGCAATATACTCCGTCATATATTCTAATTTTAGAGAAATAAATGGACTTTAAACCTGTTTTTTAATACATTTTTACGAAGATAAATATTTCCTGTATGCAATAATAGTAAAATTTTGAACTTTCCTGAGTGTGAAGTTAGCCCCTAAGTTTTTTTTTTAAATCACTTTTTTCTACAAATGTACAGACGAAAATTCAATATGCGAATTTGCAAACAAAAATCTATCAATTATATTGATTGAAAATCATTTTTGAAAAAATTGGGGGACTAAAGTTGACCCCCCAAAAGTTTTTTTTGGATAACTTTTATTAAAAGTGTGCAAATAAAAATAAAAAGATTTATTCTTGTACAAACAATGTGCAATCGAATCATAAAAAAATCAATTGTTTCTAATATTGGATTGTTAACTTCAAGTGTTTGGCTTAAATTTGTATTTTCAAAATTTGTAAATACAAAGCATTGTGTTACAATGATTCATTTCGCTGCACTTCTAAGTTTACAAAAGGCATTAGTCGACTCAATTTAGAAATTCTATTAATGGAATAGTATCTATCGAAGGCACTGCCTGTTCAATAATAAATTCCGTATGTTTCACGTGATCTTATTTGTGAGAAACTAACTAATATATCATTTATAGCGACAATTTTCAAAATATTGTAATATTTTTTATTTTTGCTCGAACCGCTATATAACTTGCTAAATTTTTCACGATATTTTCTGCTTGGTACAATGTGTACCATGCATACTACGTTGCAGCAAATGTAAATATCGAATGAGAGAACTATCCAACTTTTGTTGACACAAGAAATACCGCAAAATATTGTACTATTTGTATTTGTTGTTTTTTTATTTACAAATGTGAATATATTTTCTTGTTCAAATAATCGCTAAATATATCAAGATTTCACACAAATCATACACATATTAAATATATAGAGTCCTCCTAATTATTTAATTTATTGCTTTTTTATCAACCGGACGCATTATTAGTAAATTAAGAAGCGTCGTTTAAGTAATTATTCTATAATTTCACGAAAACTTTTATACCTAACTGTGGATATCTTAGCGGAAACAATTACTTATACATTCTATGCTATTTCAAATTATAATTATAATTATAATTATAATTATAATTTGAAATAGCATAGAATGTATAAGTATAATTATAAATATAATTTATATAATATAATTTATAAATTATAATTATAAATTATAATTATAATTATTTATATTTATTTCAAATTATAATTCCTCAAATTAAGGGAAAACCGACGAATTTTGCACGTAGTATGTACCTATCAATTATTTCAAATGTAAAATAATGTTTGTATAATATCGCCTAAAATTTTAGAATGTTTTATAGAGTTTATGTTTTACGTTTTAGAAAAAAGATAAAATAATTAATTAGTTCAATCTATATATCTAATAGTAAAAAATATATAAACTGTTATCAAAATGTGTTATAATTGTTAAACAAAAAACTGTTTAATAAATTGATGCGTAATATCTTTTAATAGATCTACATACGACATAAGAGACACATCATCCATTTAAATCAAACGATATTATATTTTTTATTATGCTAATGAGAAATCATTAATCTTTCGACTTAACGCACAAAAATATAAAATATACGCTTGATCGATTTATCATATTAATTAACGTACATGCTTGTCTTGCGAATTGATTATGATATAGGAGACGAATAAAATATGTAAAAACTGTTTTAATTCGCATACAAGGATATTTAATTAAGCAACACTCGCGGGATTTGTTCTCAATTTTGGAAACACATGAATTACAATAAACGAAATTTTCCCGTGGGTTTCCATGTTTGCTTTCAAATTGCATTTGATAAGAAAACAATCCGAAATTTTGCCTCTCTAATATCTTGCCGAATTTTGCATTATTACAGATATTAAATCAAATCGAGAACTCATTTTCATATCGCTCAATCGATACTTTAAGAGATAAGCCAAACTGACTTTTGCTTATTCATCGCAAAATTGGAGAGAAACAAGTTTCGATTATTTTCTTTTAAAAAATCGACTTACACGATACCGAGATTTTCGAATGAATATGAATTCGACTTATCACAACTCAGATTCGCTACGTAAACAAACGCGATTAAGGCTATAAATTCGTGCAAACTATGTCCTTTCTGCTGGAATTAATTAAGTATAAACTATTGTTTTCTTTTCTATTCATGCTTTTCAAAGTCGCACCGCGTGTATAATTAAATGCTTGTACTGAATTTTTAAACTTTTATCTATGTATCTCATGTTTTTTCATATAAGCTAAGTAACGTCTCGTATTTTCATATTTTTACGCGACACTGACATAGCTTATCTCTCACATAACTAATGTTACATAACACATGTTATACAACAAATAAATTGTCTTTTAACTCTGCAACGTTTGTTGCAACACATACAGAACACGCGTTAAAAAATGTATATTATTAGATGAATAGTTGGAATAAAGAAAAAGAAGGAATAAATAAAAAAAGTGACAAGTAAATTATGAGTTAGAGTTTTTTTCTTTCTGTCTCTGTTATATAACTTTTTTAATTTTACGTGCCTTCTTTTTTTAATTTGTCTATAATTTAAGTTTTTAATTTTATGCGTAAACTTTGTATCTTTAGCTTTTTCTGAACCTTAAAGATCTTATTAATATAAATGAATTTTACCGGAAGCATTTTCAATAATAATGCGTTTCGATGAAATTAAAAAGAAAAGTCGATATCTTAAAGTTCAGTTTTTTAAAAAATGTGAAATGGAATTTGTACAACACTCTGCATATGAGTCAGTATTTATGTAATGTTTGTTAGAATTTTATGTATTTCCAAGTCTGCGGTACATTTTTGCGAAAACTAATAATTTAAATAAATCAATATATTCGAGAAATTATTGATTCTCGCAGAAATCCACCATGATAATACCTTATATCGAATACCTTATATAACGACACCGTTGCTACTACTGTCTAAGGAAAAAAATACGCCGATAAACCGCGTTAGCGAGTGTCGCAATTGTGTTGTGTTTACACAACACGATGTTTAACTTGTCACGCGAAATGTACGACGCGCACAGGAATCTTCGTTTCGCGTCGTGCCAAATTTTTATCAAAACAATACCATCGCACGATCGATGTAAATATAGCGTGACGACATCAGTCACGAGCAACGATACGCGCACTTTCTAGCCAACTTGGAAATGGAATTCGAAAGGACCGATATATATATATATCTCGCAACTGATATTACAATAAAAACAACATCTCGCAATGCGAGAACTTCCATACTCACTTGGTTTTCCCTCGGCTACTCCGCCAAGAGCGAGATCCGTGTGTGCGTCCAATGACATCCGACGCTATCGTAGGCGCGAGACGCGCATCTTCGTCGTAAACACAAGAACAACAACGGGGCAACACACCTTCTCAGGGACGTATCGCACGTGGATTGAAACGTACACGTTGGATATCAACAGTGGAAGGTCACCGTCGGCGTCGCTACCAAAGAGAGAGGAATAGAGACGATGATAGGCGGCGACGTGCTCGGGAACGGGAACTCGTAAAGTGCGTCGAGACGCACTTGGACGGATCGTGAGAGCTTCCGTCGAGAATTAGCCGACTCGAGGAACGCGCGTCGACGAGACGGAACGTCGGTCACGTGCAACGTTTGCGCTCGACGGACGCTCCTAACCTACCCAGTGGGAGAGGAAAATGATGACGATAACGACGACAACGACGACGATAATGACCCGTCTCGCCGAGATCGTAGATACGTACTACGAACGCGGTCGCGTACTCGCCCGAAGACACGGCCGCGCATCCGCCGATTCATGTCTACTGCTCGCACGCGAGATATAATACATAGTACGACGCAGCGAAGGGAGAGCGAGTGGGGCGGGAGGAGTGGGGCGGAGTGAGGGTCGGATGCGGCGGAGTGGGGATGCGCAGCTGGGAAAGGGAAAGAGCGGCGCGAGGGTCGAAAGCGCGAGGGAGGGGGGAGGGAGGCGGCCGACGCGAGGGGCGACGATGAGTGAGAAGCGTAGGAACAAAAGTTCCGACGCGTAAAAATATTTCCGTGTTTTTGGAAGTGTGCGTCGCACTCTTTCTCTCTCTCTTTCTCTCTCTCTTTGGCACCGAGTGTTATTACTACTCGGGATAAGCGGCGGCGTCTTTTTTGCCCTCTTACCCGAGGAGTCGAGAAGCGTAAATGGCGGAAGACGAGGCGGTGGGCGAAGGAATGATGGAAACGCTGACCTTTGAACGATATTTTTCGCGTAACGTTTCTTCTCGCTTTCCAACCGGAGAGAGAGAGCTCCTTAAGCGATTTTCAGACATTAAGATGTTTGCGAGTGATACTGCACGCGGTTCTTACGACTCGCTCAAACGAGAGGCCAGACGCGGTAATGAGATCTCAAATTGCATTGGGTCTCGCGCAGGATTCCCTTTAGAAATGCTCGTCCCTCGAAACAAAGAATATTCAATGTCGACGAGAGTCATCTGCATAAATTTCCTCTCCCCGCGACTTCCTCCCTCCTTCATATTAATTTAACTTTGCGCGAGAAGTTATAACTGTATACAACAGGTAGGCGCCAGATAATCAACAAGGAGAATGGGACCGGAAATTTGCTATTGACATCACGTGAAAAGAACGTTACGACCACGCGCTTCGAAAAATTGTGGTGCTGAAGACCGACGATTCTATATGAATGGCTTTATTGCATGCGGAAGCGCACGATTGTTCACGGTAGAGATAATTTTCGCACGATCACGTTCGCATAATCTAGAGTTAAACGCGACACGCACTATCATCATTAGCGTAAAAAAAAAAGGAGGACAAAACGCGCCTCTTCGCACCTATAAGTCTATTATTTACATTTATTTACACGAACAAATAAAAGCGCTCGAGCAAAAGAGGTGCAGCCAGCTTAGGAACTCTATTAAAGGCGCACCGATGTTAATCCCTCGACGGCATTGTCAGAGAGATCAATGATATCAATGCCGTCTGAAGATCGCGTATTCAAACCGCACATTTTTCCATCCTCGGGGATGACTCATTAATAAAGCACAATCGATGCGACTAATGAGCATGCAATTAAGATTGAATGAATTTCTACCTCAAGATGTTATCGGATATATCTTGTTTCTCGCAATATCTTGCTGCAGAATCATATTTTACGAATCTCTATAAATACGAACGCCATTATAACTCCGTATTGCGTAACGTTAGACAAATTAGAGTCGGACAGTTTCATTCAATGCGAAATGCACGTTATCCGTCTTGTACCTCTTTCTCTCTCCCTCCCTTTCTCTCTCAAACTTGCAAATTGCTTCGTATAATGTACAATGTAATGTTTTTTATCGCCCATGCCATTCTCGAGATAGCGGCTTCCTGAGACCTTTAATTTTCCCTGCATTTATCAGATCGCACTGAGCGAGGAATATGTATCACTTGTCACTAAATGACACGAATCATTTCTCTCGGTGATTACGTAAGAACGTGCTCTTTCGAAAATCTTGCCGAATTCGCGTCACAGTTGATCGCGTATCTCGATTAAAATTCGCAAATATCGCAAAATTGCACTTCTAAAATAAACACAACGTCGATCTATCAGCATTGCGAGAAACAAAAGTGATTTTGCATTTCTTTCTCGACCGGAAAGAGAGAGAAAAAATCGAGGAAAATAATCTAAATAATCATAACTTACAATGTAATAACGAATGATGATCGAGATAATTATACATGCTAAATGTGATAGCTTTCGATCCTTAACCTTCTTGTGACGCGGCAAATGATCGATCGATCGTCTGGAAAAAAGTTGCATATTAGTGCAAGATATGCAAAATTATGCGTCGGCGTAGTAATGATTTATTCAGCTATTATGCAGTTTCGCCAGTAATTTTGCGATTATTAAAGTGGAATACACGAAAGAGGAGAAAAATAGCGGATTCGCGATCGATTGCACATATTCGCGTTTTCCGTGAATTTTGAACGCTAAATGCACGGTGACAGCAACATGCTGAGCTTTTCAGAACAATTCTCGATTCGAACAGGACATTCTCTCTCTACCGTCCCAATCAATGTGCTATTGTAAACGTTGCATCACTAGAAGCACGTAGAAACATGCAATTTTAAATCTTTCAAGCTTCGATTTACATTGCTATGGCCAACACAGAGGGGGAAAGCGTGTTTTATTAAAAAAAAATTCTTAAATTATTTAAATATTTAAAAAAATGTAAGCTAATCCAGGATATTCCAAGCAAAATACGGGAAAAGTATCCTAGTTAAATACGAATTTCTAATTCTGATGATATGCATATGAACAAGGAACACGATATTTCATATTGGACATACAGAATTCAGAAATTCGTGGAACAGCGCTCGTATTATTACATTTTACATTATTGGATAATGTAAAGTGAAAATCGCGGTACCGAAGAATCGTGGTTGCGATATAACAAGGACTGTTTACACTCGAAATTTCCTGTACTAACGTTTTATTAAATTGCGGATATCCTTATTCAGATAATATCTGCTTTTTGCATGCGCTGATTTTAGAATTAAAATATAATAATCAAGAGATCAATTAAAAGATACAGGAAATTTATGTAAATTTAAAATTAATAATTAGGAATTTGGCTCAAATAAATGAATAAAAATTAAATCACAATTGGCATAAGAGCCACAATTACCGCGCTCTTATGCTAATTTTGATTTAATTTTTATTTATGCAAATTTGTTTTTACAAAGAGATAATAGAATTTTGTCTCATTTTTATTCGAATACGATTATTTGAAAATAAAATAAAATCCAATCTGTACTTAATGCATAATTTACGATTCATTTATGTCACTTCTCTTTCACTTCCATTGGTCATTTCCACATTTCGAATGTTTACGATCATTCCTATTTACGATATTACGCATCTAGTTTCAAGATAAAATATCGCCCTCTATCGTATCTCGAAAAACTTTCCAAATAATAGATAACCGACAAAAGAGATAGAGAACAAGAGAGACGGTGATTGGAATCGCGTGTCGAAAATTGAATAAAAATATCCGAAAAACTCGATTTCCTTCAATCTAAATTAATTGAATTTATCCGTTAATTTTACAACTCGGTTAATTTATTCTCCTGAGAAAAGTTTTTCCTAAACTCGTCCGCCCCGAATGAGATGGATTTATTGGCAAATGCGTCGTTAAAATCGTAACACGAGGCTCTGTGGGGTAGAGGTACGGCGATCTTACGCAATGTGACGCGCAAAAGCATCGACGGAGCCTTCCCGTCGATTGATCCCGTAGAGAAAATGCGTTTTATTCGATATTAATTTCTTTTTTGCTCCAACATCACCCATGCCATATTCCCTCTCGTACAGAGCAATAACCTTGACGATTTCCGAATTATTAATTCGTATCTCGCGTATACTTTTATAAACGCGAATCCCTAATTTATTCAATTCAACAACAGCACTTTTTTTTTTCTTAGTAGTACTTTTCTCAATATTTTTGATAAATTTATTTTGCAAAAATAATTTTTTAATTTAAATTTTTTTATTTTGACTTACATTACACGCGCGATATTGTTGCACTTATGATACATTGATTTATGGATTTAATAAGTGTATTATTAAAGCAACATTTTTTTTTAAATGAAAAATAATTTTTTAATCCTTATTTAATCTAAATTACACGCGCGATATTATTTATGATACGGATCGTTTCCTCCTGTTTGCGCCATAAAATGTGCCATAAAACGTAAAATCCCTCTCTCTATTTAATTGCTTCACTACTCATATTTACGACGACTATAATATCGAATGTTAAAAAAGTGTCTTAATATTAATCGGAAAGAAAGAATACGTCGCATTAGATGTTCGTGACGACTCGCGGTGAAAAAAAAGTAAGCAATACTGCGCAATAACGTGATCACGTGTCGTGGGAGCTCAATAATCACTCCAAAATAATTGTTAATTAATCCTCAATTTTCGATAAGAAAAATATTGCTTATCAAACGTCATTAGCCGTGGGTTATTGATTTATCATTACTTCGTTTATCTCATTAGAAACGGTCGTAATACACAGCAATAACGCGTCGGTCAAAAGGGCGTCTCTCTCTCTCTCTCTCTCTCTTTCTCCCTCCTTCTCTCCCTCCCCCTCTCTCTAGCGCAACAATCCATTATCTAATTCACGATATCCGATAATTCACGAACTACGACTCTAGCGATATCCGAGCGGATCTTGCCGAAAAGTAATGTTTGTAAACACTGCGAGCACCTCCACGTTTTTCGCTCGAAGGGCTAGAGATGTACACAGACCGGCGATTCTGCGTCGTAAAAGGCACGCAGACGTTGGGTCCTGCCGGACAATGCACCGTCGTCGTCCTGCACCATCTTCGGATCTGGCGGGTCGTAAGGAATCCGACCGTAAAACGGGAAAAGAGAGCGCGCGCGCGCGCGCGCGCGCGAGAGAGAGAGAGAGAGAGAGAGAGAGAGAGAGGAGACGGAGAGGGCGGATCTCGCATACGAGACGCTTTTATTCCCACCGCATATTTAGCAGTAAAACGCGCGCTCTAGTTGGACTCCCGGCTTACATTTGACATTGACACGATTCTCATATTACGGCATACAATGCGCGTCCGCGTCGTCCTTGCAGGTGCGTCGCGGGGGAAATGTAAGGTCGAACGGGGGCACTTTTAGACGCAGCACCAACCTTCGGATCTCCTCGCGGCGTAGGTGGATAGACGTCGGCTTTTCGACGCGAATCGTTCGAACGCACCAAACAACCGTCGCGGATCGAATATCGTGGGAGCGCAAAGGGAGAGAGGCGAGCCTCGGCGAGAATCGCCTCCACGTGAATCCACGACTCGCGTCGCTCTCGCGCTTTTTCCGTCGATCGGCCTTCTCGCCCAATCGCGCGAGCACCCTGCGCCGGCGGCGAACGATCAAAACAGAGGAACGAGGGCGCGCCGCGACGCGACGCGGCGCGGCGGCGGCGATGGGGGTGGGTGGGGGGGAGCGAGAGGTCGCGGGCATTGAGCGGGCGCGACGGAGCGCGAGCGCGGGCGCGCGAGGGAGAGGGAGAGCGTGAGATAGACGGCCGTGTCGTGTCTTGTATTGCGTAGTAAACGCTTGAATGGATTGCGTCACGCCGGGCCAAAGTCGGCTGCAGGGTGGAAACCGCGCGCGACAATACTCCGAAAAACGTCCCGATGGCGGGCCCACGTTTCCCCCTCGTCTCACGTATCGCGCACGGTAAACACGAGGCGAATGACAAACGGCGAATGACACGGCGCGCCGGGTCGCGTGCGTAAGGGACGCGGAGACTCCCCGATTAAGGCGAGCGAGCGTCGTCGCAATCGATCGTCGCGCCTGTACATCACGTCGTAAGTGTTCCGGTTAGCCCCGTTAACCGCGGTGCGCAGACATCCTCCCGTCTCGCTCCCGTGCTCGACGCCCACGTGCGTTCACACGAGTCTCGGGCGCGTCTCGTGCACAGTGTCCCCGCGTTCCTCTCCATCCCGTTCGCTCCGTTCTCATCCCTCTTCCGCCAACACATCTATATATATATATGTTTCTAAATATATATATATAACACACGTATGTGCGGTGCGTATGTGTACGACACATGTATATACATGTCATTTATATTTATGCGCTCTTGCCGTCTCTCTCGCTCCTGCTCCCCCGCGAGCCGCGTCGCGTCGCATATTATTGTCCGAATACGTGATTGACGTCGAAATTGGCGACACTCGGCCGCGCTCCTGGGCCTGGGAGTGCGCGTCGTTTGTCCGTTCGATTGCTCGCTTTTGTTTTCGCGCAAGAAGACGACGCGTTCGCGAAGGCGAAGGCGATATCACGTGGGCAAGCGTGCCCTTTCGCGACGAGAGCACTCACCTCGTACGTGTCGTACGTCGCGCACGATTCACGTGCTCGCACGTCGTAGCTCGTAGCAGTCGTGTAGCAGTTGGCGGAGGCGACAACGCGAAGTTGCCTCCGATCGGCACATCTCTCCTCTCACTCGTCTCCCCGTTTCTTCCGGGAATACGTATCCGCGCACCGCGGACGTAGGTACGCGCACAAACACATAAGCACCCTGCACGACTCTCTCGTGACTTTGTATCACGCGAATGTAACAAACTCTCTCTCTCTCTCTCTCTCTTTACCCTCGAATACGACGCGCGCGCGGCTCGCTCTTTTACCGAGAGCAGACGACACACTACGTATATACCGACCCACGAGTCGGCTGCTACTGCTCCAAGCCGCGATTGTACACACCGACAGCCGAACGCGACCACGAACGTGACAGCTTTATGAGAAACGTCACTCCCGCGCGACGCGAGCGCCGCCACGCGGTCGCATCGCGAATCGCTTGCAGTGAATTATTTCAGAGTGCAAGATAGGTTTCTTAACGATCGTCGATTCGATGGATCTTCCATTGGGCGGAAGGATTGTCGAGGAAAAGAATCGGTAAGTGTACTATTAATTAATTCACATTTTCGCGTGAATAATTCGCCCGATATATAAGCGATGCATAGCCGAACATATTTGTACATTGTTTGTCCTAAAGAAAAGATTAATAATAATGGATGATAATAATAGAGAGATATTTTGTTTAGAAATGAGATGAATTTGGTTAAGATAATCCACGAATTAATGAATATAATATAAATAAGAAAATGTAAATGAAATATCGAAATTGAATTTTGTTGGCAAGTAAATTTTTAAATACAGCGAATGCCTATTGTTATGCGTCTGTATTATATATATATAATACGCTACTTGACATTAAAAATGCCTTGAATAATTTGAATAATTTTACGAAACAAAAGAAGCGAACATTTCTTGTCTGGATAACTATTGCATATAATTAAATATAAGAACCCTTGTAAAGTAAAATGCGTAGCATTTGCAAAATGGTAAAATAATTGAGAAGCAGCACAGAGATGTTAAAGAAGGTCGAAATATATATATATATATTTGCTTTATGTTGTTTCTCCATTACTTTACTATTTGGCAAATGCTACGTATCTCATGTTACAAAGGCTTATAATGTAATAGTTGCTTCAGACAAGAAACCTTTGCTCCGTTTGTTTTGATTAACCAAATTATTCAAAGTATTTTTAACATCAAGTATCGTACATTCTTAATTATGTATGCGAATAGAATAAAAATATCATACATCATGATGTTAAAAAAGATGTAGGATTTTGATAGATATGATCGAATAAAAAATATTTAATAAACGTGGAGAACGTCGAAAAATCAAATTTATCACAAAAGCAATTTGATGCAAAATAGCAATTTGTTAGCTTCTGTTTCACATGTGGAAGTACACGATTATTTTATGTAGTTTTTACTCTGATTTTTACAAAAGATATTCTACGTATTTCTTTTCATTTGCATGTAAAATTATTATTTTTATATATAAATATAGTGTAGAGAAAAATGCAAACTCTCTTTAAAAAATTTTTTATATTTCCTCGAATCGTTTAACATGTATTTTACATAAAAATTCACTGATATAAATCTTGTATATCTGTTTTTTCAACACATTAAGTATCTTATATACACTTAATTAAAACATTTTTATTATGTGTATGTACCATGAAATGAAGTAGGTGCTAAGAAGTGCTAAGAATAAAGGAAGTTTGTCTGGCTCGATGTGCTAAGAATAAGAATGAAGCTTCGACTGTCTGTAAGTTTTTTTTCATTATTTTCTCAATATTTGTGTGTGTGTATGTGTATGTGTAAAAGAAATTAATAATTTAAATTTCCATGTTAGTTACGAGACACGTATGATCCTATTGTTGAATAGATAAAATATTTTGCCATTTAGAGAAATTAGATTATTCAAAAATCAATTTTATATCGATAATCTCGATTGAATAATTCAGATTATTTTTTAATCAATGTCATTTGTCCTTCAATCAAGGCCTTAAATTTCTATTCGTGATTTTTATTCATTTATCGCATTAATAAAATGTCTGATAGTGGTTTTTATTATGCCACCGTATCAAATCAACAAAGCTGATCGACATACCTGATGAGATAACCCGTGATAGCATGAATGTACTTTAGAAAAATATTTGTGTAATATTTGAGTAATTGATAGGGTGTACAGGCGATTGATAGTCTGGTTTGTTTTCATTTCGATTGCTTCTGTCTCATTCGTCTGGCTTTCTTTTTCTTCGCTTCTAACACGAAAACAATCTCTTTCTTTCTTTCTGTCGAAACATCGAAGGAAACATCGTGATATTCTTTATGCCAATATCTTATGTATATAGATATTTGTTGCGTAAATTTATGGCTACCAGTAAATTAATGTGCATTTTATTATGCAGAATAAAATCACGAATCTTGATATTTATTAACATTATTCGGCCTTTGAGATACTTCTTGTCGATAAAAGTGTCTATGAATTTTTAATTTGTTTCGTGATGTTTTCAACGTGTTTTTTCCTGTTGGAATTTTTATATATGTATTAAAATATGCACATCATTATATGCATATTAAGCTTTGTTTGAAAAATATTTGCCATTTTTTACCCAAATGTTTGAAATATTAAATAATTTAAAAAAAAAATATTACTACTTTGAGTCGTTACATTCCAAGTTTTAATAAATGTAAAAATAAATATATTTTTTATATAATTTGTAGTGTAAAATTTTCTCCTTGTATAAACATTGAGAATTCGTAGTTATTATTTACTTGATAATGTATCGTGTATTGCAAATTTTATATTATTTAGTAATTTTTAATTTTTATTTATTATTTTATGTGCAATGTATCCAATACATAAAATCTTAATATATATATAAATTTATTTATATCAATTTTCTCGTCACATACACACACATACGAATCATAAATACCAAAATATTGATAATTTCTAAGTTTATAAGTGAAACATTATGATATGATGAACAACTTAAAGTTTAGTTTGTTATTTATAAAGAAAAATGTGGATAATGTAGAAAGCGGTATCACGATTGCTGTTATAACAGCTATTATTTAGCCACCAGCTATAACGTCTTCCGGTAAAGACCTGTTATAGCAATTAAAATACCAGCAATTAAAGTATTTCGTAATGAGAAAAAATATGTATATGAAGTACTTTACTATTTGTACCTTTAAATTTAAAAATTTATATGCAAACAAATGTGTGCAAATTAAACAAAATTATTAGATTAAATTACAACTACAAGTAACTTATAATTATGTTACCGTAAAAATATATTAGAGATCTTTTAAAAAGAAGACTGTCTGCCGATCGAAAAAAATGAGTCTCTCTTGTATAATTCCCATTTTGTCCCAATTAAACATTTAACGTTTAACATTAAAAAATAATATATGCACGATATAATAAATAAAATAAATGTGCGAAAAAGTTTTCACGAAATTCAAATCAATCTTAATCTATTTTCTTCTTGAAGACATCTTGACCGATTGCTCGCCAGCATAATTTCTTGAGTCCGTAAATTATCAGGATTAAACTCGTTATATAAAATATTGCGACGTCTATACTGTAATAATGGAACGTGCTCATATATCTGAAAAATGTTGTATTTCATTTATATACTTTCTCCAGTTTTACATATATATATCGTAGATTTATTTGCTGCATCCAACATTTCAATACACACATTTTATATATAATTTATTTTAAATTATTTTAAATTTATTAATACAAATTTATTAATAAATTTACTAATACATTAATAATAAAAATATGATGAGAATATAAGAGAGAAGAAAAGATGCAGATAAAATATTTTATGTCAATGTTTTGATGTTTATTTGTTTTTTTAAAATGAAAATACAATATAAAATAGAAATAGAGAATAAACAAAATATTAAGAAAATATTAAGAAAATATTTCAAGATATGAAAAGAAGTGAGAATATGAAAGTAATAAAAAGTGGTAAAAAGAAATGAGAAAAAGAAGTTTGCAAGGGAAAACTGAGGAAGGAAAAGAAAACTAAGATATGTACAAGAAATAACAACAATATAGGAGGAGTAGAAAAGCACTAAAGGATATAATAAAAGTATGAATAATTGTAACAGAAAGTATAAGTTAAGCTATAAAGTATAAGTTAAGTTATATATAAGTTGAGAAACAAGATTGAGATATTTTAAGATGAAACGAGATAGATGTATGACATCAAACAGTAACGTAAATATATCGAAATAAGAAGGAAAAAAATAGAAATACTAGGAGACAAAATGAAAATATAAATTATGTTGAATATAGAGAATATTTCTTAGAAAGATCCAAACGATCGGAATTAAAAAGAAGATACAATAATAATAAATAATAATAATTGGAAAAGTATATATAATGATAACAATTGAAAAAAATATTACCTGATTGAGCTCTTCAAATGATCGGCTCCTCCATGTTTGGCGACGTGTATGACCCACCAAGTGGCCAATTCTCTGGAATCAATCGGAAGATCACGCAGCAACGTGCTTCGTTTTTTAGCTGCCTCTCGATAAGAATTATTATGAAGGGCGGCAACTTTAAGTATACCTTCATGAAGTGCACTAATGGATATACCAGCCAAATCCATTACCAAAGCGTAACCCAATTTTTCTGTGTTAAATAAATATACAAAAATGTAGTAAATTAACTATTAAAAATAATTAATTTTTTTTATCGGTGAAATATCTCTTATAATATTATGACTATCATTATTAGTTATGAATATGATTATAAGTGAAAGATACACGATTTTATATTTAGCGTAGCAGGCAGCTTTGGTCGATAAAAATATAAAATTTTAACTATGGTTGTGTTTTTCATTGAAATTCTTTTTTTTTTGTTGAAATTTTTGATTAAAATTTGCAATTTTTACTTTCAAAACTCGAATTATTCTTTCTATTTTTATCGTATATCCATCTCCATCTCTTCTAATCAATAATAAAGCGATCAATATCTCTTTTATATCATTTTTATTAATTAAAAAACAAAGAAGGAAATGATTTACCGGCCTGCGCCGCGTTTCCATCGTGGTCGCAAAAGACCGGCAGGACCAAAGTCGGCGCGCCATGATAAGCTGCTTCGTGAAGAGACAACAGTCCACCGTGAGAAACGAAGGCGCGAAGTTTGGGATGTCCGAGTAGCTCTTGCTGCGGCCACCAGGCAGCCGTTCTTACGTTCGTCGGCAAATCTTTGATCTTGGCACCTTCCCACTTCCAGATGACGTTGTATGGTAGCGCGGAGAAAACCGCGACGAAGATCTGCCGTAGAGCCTCCGGCATTCCGGAAGCCTGGACCGACGATCCCATCGAGACAAACACGAAACCTGCGCAAAAATTGACTCAACGCCTCGGTGTCACATGCAAGTTTAGTCAGAGATTTTTATCGTACACTTGTCACACGAGCCACCGCAGGGAAGATAGTATCAAAATAACGTTGCATATCTCGGATCTGTACTTATACACGCAATACGGTCCCTTACGTAATATGCAAGAAATGTCGTCATGAGAGGTTTAAACGAGAAGTTTAAATATTTTTATGTTGGAAGAAATATAAAACGAGGAAACGAGGAACAAATATGTAGCAATTTTTATCGTTTATCGAAATAACACAAGTTTACTGTTTATTCTCCATTTCCTTTTTTTAAATGCGCGAAACTTTTTTTATAACAATATAATAATTAATAAAAGTAATTTTGATTAATAAAATATGTTTTTTATCATATGATGAATGAAATATCATTCTTCAAGTTCACGATAGTTTCGTTTGGAAATGTAAGAATTTTATAGCTGTCAGAAATATGAATTTTACATAAAAAAATAGGAAGTGAAAGGGAGAAAAGAATACGCCTGCGATATTACCACGTCGCAGGAAGGACTCCAAATCTGAATTTAATTGCATCGCCGGTCTACAATGAAGACAAGCCACGTTCACGACGTTTGACAAGTAGGGCACGGAATCGGCCACGGTGTAATGATTGTTCTGCAAAGTCAAAGGAACTTCCGCCGTTAAATTGTACAAATCATCGGGTATGTGATCACCTGTCAAAAGCAAAAATTACCTCTATCATTATTAGTATAAATATTCGATTAAAAAATAAAAGATGTGCACAATTATTACAGCGTTATACGAAATTTTGATCAATAAACGAATAGAGTAGAATAGCGAAATTGATTTAAACGTTCACCGAGATATTTCTGAAGAGTTGGCCGAAGGTAAATGGAAATTGTGATCCAATGCATAATTTTTAAAGTGAATTGAGCCGCTACGTTTAAGACCCTTTGGTAAAAGTTCATATCTTGCGTCATCACTTTGCCGAAATATGGTGTCACCGACCATGGTGACGGATTGCCTTGACGCATAATGGATCCACTGTACAATGCCACCTGCATACATAATATATATCGTTGTTTCTATTACTATTATAATAATATTCAGCAAACGTTGTTAATTTGAACGAGTCGAAAATATCAATTTTACGAAAAAGGAAAATCGAACGAAAATGTTTTCTTTTTAAGTAAAAAAGCATAAAAACTCACTTATGATCGAATCATCGACGCATCATCGACGTTATTAAAAGAATAAATTATGAAAACAGCAAAATCAATATATAAATAGAATAATTAAAGTTTAACTTGTAAGTTTCTTAAATCATTTTAGCACATCTAGAGATATGTATATAAATTATTCAAGGAGGCAATTATTCTGACATATCGTCATATTAGTTACACGTAGTCGAGTGAACATAACATGGTATTCATCATTTACTTTTCATTTATGAAAACGTCAGTATACGACAAACAGGTGTGTTTTGCACATTCCATACTCATGATAATTATATATATGAATATCTGTATACAATTTTCTGTTCATATCGTTTTTTCATATTTTTGGTAAATTAAGCAGTAAAAAGAAAAAGTTTACGAGACCACACATTATTATTTTGAAACTTAATTTATTCTCGAAAATTTTCCTCTTACATTAGTTTCAATTTAATTTCTCAATCTGACATTTATTTTAATATAAAATAATCTCAAGTCATTTTCTTTTAAAACTATCAAACTTATAATTTTCTTTAAAGTTTCTTTTTGAAATTATTAAGTAGAAATCTGTTTGTTTATTGTACTATTTGATGTACAAAATAGAGAATCAATTCTTATATAAATTCCTATAAATTAAATATGTTTAGAAATTTTCTAAAATTTATAAACATAAATAATTAAGAAATTAAAAATGCAAACAATTAACAAATTTATGTTTTAAGCACATTATAAAATGTGTAATTGTATCATTATATTGTATATATTTACAGCGACGTATTTAAAATACCTCGATAATTCTAATATAAAGAATGTGCGATTCTCTCGAGTCAGAATTGCAACATAATCCTGTATCATCTTTTTTACTTTGACAGCTATAATTTTTATACAAACTAAATTCATCTCAATACACATAATCGTTCCACATATTTATGTATAATATAATGAATAATTATATACTTTATCACAAATGATTCAAGTAAAAGCCGAGTCGTCTGTTGTCTCTCTCACAGCGAGAAACGAGCTAACTCTAACAGAAATTGAATTAGATACGGGGAGTCTCGTCACGATTTTGCGGTTTTGGGTGAATAGCTTATTACCGTGTTGAGCATTATTGTCGGAACATTCTCGCCGTGAAGAATCCCCAGTAGACACTCGGGAAAGGCGCCGTCAATCACCGCGACATCCCATCGCGCGCGCGGATTGCCATCCGGTTTTCTTAGACCGGCCGTCGACGCCGTGTCGCGCAACAATGCCTCGCAGGACTCCCAGCCGTACCTCATGGCGTCCCATGGTGAAATCGGGAGCTCGTTCCGGAATCGGGCGCCCACCAAATCCCACTCGGACGTGAAGTTCTCGACGTAAGCCTACCATAAGAATTACGCGCGAGGATAATGCGAATATCTTTCGCGAAACTCGCTGTGGTGTCTTGGGACTTTAATCCCAAAACTTCGAAACTTACGAAAACTGCTAAGCTTTCGACGAATTGGGATCAAACTTCCTTGTTTTCAAAGATAGTTTCATGGAGAAAAATAGATACAAAGCGTCGAATAAATCGCAGAAACAAGTTTTGCAAAATTTTCTGAAACAAACTACTCCGAAAGATTAAATGTGAGTACAAGGAGAAAGGGTGAATGAGAAAATTATAATTTTTGATTCGCTTCAAATTATTAAATCGCCACTTTACAAACAGAGCGTAAAAACGTTGGAAAGACTTCGCATCCCTTGACTCTTATAGTCGATGCATATGCGATAAATCTTAATATTATTCGAAACATCCCATTATGCTCGAGAGCTACCCATCTGTATCTTATAAAAATAAAAAGTCCGCAAACAACAGAGCTAAGAAAGAAGGTAATCAACAAGGAGGTAATCGTATAAGCGGACGAATGGTACAGTAAATTACACCGCGTGTAATAAAATTAGGTAGGTCAAGAGCCAAATTGGACGGAGGAGAATAATGGCGAGCGATAGCCCGCGGTGGTTTCTGGGGATCGTGTCCATTTTACCGAACTAGGGCATCGAGTTTATGCAGGAGTAGATCGTAAATCACCTCGAGGATCGACGGCACCAGCTCGCGAAGGCCATTATTCGCTGCGGGACCGGAGAAAGCACTCAGCAGTGTGACGTTGTGGCCCCGCGAACTCAAGCTCGTACCAAGGGCGACGAAGGGCACCGTGTGAGACTTGGTACCACCCAGGGTGGCCATCAGGACGTTATATCCTAGCAGAGGCTCGATCAGCGCGGAGATGCCCAGGAGAAGAACGAGCCGACGTGTCATCTTTTTGCGGATATCGCCAACGCTTCGGGTTCTTCTCTCTCTTATCGAGAATGTCGATATGTCGCGTGCGATTCTTTCTCAACGGGGAAGACCGATCGTCTTGCGATCCTGCACCGTGGACATATCCACGTTACGCTCGACTGCGTTCCTTTCGTCACGAACTCTTTTGTGCATCGACGAAGCGAGAAACCGATGCGAAGGATCTGTATTCTCTCTACGGACCGTTTCCAGTCGGTTGGCCGAGATGAAGAACGGGTCTTCTTACGCTCCAGTTCGCGGCACCGATAAATCGCGTCGTGATCGCGATCGTTTCGTGATCGTCGTGTCGCGAATGCGTCTCACCCGATCGCCGGTCGTCTCTGCGACTGCGGCGGATGCTGCGCGCATCCTTCGTCTCGTGTATTCTCGCACGTTTCGGGAATTATTCTTGTCTCTCCCCCTCGAAACGCACCGATATAATGGTCTGAAACAGCGAGGTCTCTCGAGTTATAAACAAGTTGTCTCATCAAGCTAAGCAAGTCATTGTCATTCTAATGCACCGTCGAAAAGAAAATTGTCGGCCTGAAATTTGTATGTCTATGGTGAATCGCACCATCGACATGTCATGTCTCAGGCTACGCGCGCTTGTCCCTTTCAAATTCTTATTCGTTTCCGACAAGCGTCGAATAGTTTCAAAGATGCCATCTCGCTTTGTGCTACCATCAGTTTATCATCGTCGATTTTTTGTGATAATCTTCTGTGTATTCTCAAGATTCTATTAAATGAAAATGGATTCCTTTGACTTTCTCGAATGAAAGATTGATCGTAAATAAAATATTCTCTAATGCCTCTTCTCTTGGTTGAGAGGAAATGAATTTTATCGATTGTGTAATCCCGAAGCTATTTCGCCGATCTCTTAATCGATTTCACTTCCTTCCTCGATTCATAAATTTCTATGTAAACGAGTTTTAATTATGTAGATTAGTAAATTAATTATGTAACAGAGAGACTCACTTTCGATATCTTTATAAATGCTGCAAGATATTAGATGACTGACGAACTTTCTGGCACTTATTATTAAACTTTTATTACTTACAACTTTTTGATATCATCTCATAACGACAATTGTAACATATAGCCCAGAAGAAAAAATAAAATTGTATAATATTTTTATCAAATATGTATGCAATTTTTGCTCCGTTATTAATTTCGCTTAACCTAACTACGCTTATTATTGTCTTGAAAGGATAGATATAAATTTAATTCATTTATAATCGATTCTATTTTGACTTAAAAGCTGGAAAAACACAAAAAGATGCTGTTTACTGCATCTTTATGTACGTTGTGGTTTACGTGTATGTACATTCAAGCAACTTTGTTTTTCTCTTTTTCCCATCAACTTCTTCCTGAATCACTTCAATTTGCAAAAACCGTTGGTTAAAAATCTCTCCGTTTATTATCCATTATTTTTTATTTCCGGTGCAACATTGCGGAGTCGCGGTTTTACAAAGTATCCTATCTAAACGTTTCTTTTGCTTCTGATAGCTTTCGAAGAGCTTGGTGTGGTTTCGCGTATCTCTTTTGCAGATCCTTTCTCTCGTCTTGAAGTATTTGTACTTCTTCTACCGGTCTAATATTCAAAGAGAAGCACTGTAGAAGATGACGCGCAACTTTCAAGAGATGCGATTTTTTAAACCGTCGTGTCGACCGATCTCTTACGATGTATCGTATATTGAAAATCAAGTATTGTTGAGAATGCCCATCAATTTTCGCTCAATTACTTCTTCCTTTCTCCGACCAGGTGAAGATCTCTTAATCCTTCCTTTCTTCTGACCTTCTTTACTCCTTTCACGCGATTCCTGGGCGATGTCAGTCTTGATCTTCTGAAACTGTACACAACTTTCACTAATAACACACGCCTCGTATGCGCGATCGCTCGTGATGATAATTCAATCCTGGAAATATCGATGCTATTTCCCACCTTCTGTGGTTCCTCGTATCATTAGTATCATTTTTATTCAACTTTCGAGATTAAGATATTTTTAAAAAATATCTTTAAATCGAAATTGACAAATTTGGAGCCACAGAGCGGTAGTTGGAGCTCAAGGAAGAAACGACACTTCCTTCTTTCTGATTATTCGTATGTTTCAAATTAAAAATAATACATTAACAAAAAAATGAACATTTCGCATCATCTTTTTATCCCTCTTCTTCGCGACATTAACATGTGCATTACAAATTGTTATACATTGACATATTAAATTATAAAAATATACGTTCTCGACGCATAGGTAACGTTAAATTGCATCTCGCAGAGGTCTGGTAAGCATATATTGTTTCTAATAATTCTCTAAATTATTGTAATTATTGTAATACCAAAGTGTTAAGTAAGTGTAAGTTAAGTTCCAATAAATCTAACAAATCGAGTGAAAATATGAATACAAAGAAATATTATACGTGAGTGAACTTTTTATATTTTGTTTTAATTATTAATCAGAAACATGACTCCTCAGATTCCGCGCTTTTTACAAATTGATAACTATATGCCGTTGTATATATCTCATGTTAGCTTGAGATTTAATGATGAAATATATAAATATATCCTCGGTTATTAGGATGTAAACTGAGAACGAACTCGGTTGCCTTGATAATAACAAACATAATATATGTGAATAAATGTCTCATATTTTCGATAAATTATCGATTATCATGCATTTGCGACGATAATCGATAATTTATCGAAAATATGGGAGATTTGTTCACATACATATATTTGTTATTATCAAGTTAACCGAGTTTGTCCTCAGTTTACGTCTTAACAATCGAGGACATATTTATATATTTCATCATTGAACTTCAAGCTAACATGAGATATACATAGCAGTATACAGTTATCAATTTGTAAAAAGCCTAGAATTTGGTGAGTCCTGTTTCTGATTAATAATTAAAACATTTATATTATTTATATAATATTTTTTTTACATTTATATATTTTTTTAAATTCATATTTCCACTCGATTTGTTAGATTTATTGGAACTTGACTTACTTATACTTACTTAAGACATTTGTGATTGTGAACACTTTGTCATATTACAATAATTACAATAATTTGAAGAATTATTAGAAATTACAAAGTGCTTACTAGACCTCTGCGAGATGCAATTTAATGTTACCTATGCATGAGGACATATATTTTTATAATTTAATGCATCGTACAACACCTAACGTATATTGTTAACATCGCTCTCTGAAGAAGTATTTGTTTTTTATAATTATTTCTTTAATTTAAAATATACAAGTAATCAGAAAGAAGGAAATGTTGTTTCTTCCTTTGCTCCAACTTCCGCGCTGTGGCTCTAATTTGCCAATTTCGATTTATTTAATATATTCCTTGGCATGCGTAAAATATATTACGTGAATGAACGAATTGTTTCAAACTGAATATCTTAAATCGAGATCCAATTAATTTACCTTCGCCGGTCTAATTTGTAAACAAAGAATCATAGTGTTGTAATGTATTCTTATGTATATTACCTGCTTTTTAACGTTTCTATCTGCGATAAATTTATCAAATCCGTTCTCGTAAAACTTCCAATTAATCACCGCCACACCCACATTACATACAGTCTACAAAAATTATCAATGAAATATAAGCCACAAGGAGAGTAAAACTCGAATCAGAGCTGATTCACGTGTAAATTCAGTTAGGAGACTCGATTTCTACCACTGCGATATATCTATTCCCCGGTGTATTTAGCCAATTTATTTTTTGTTGGTGCTTCCGCTTTTTCGATTTATATTCATACACAATTTGTTTTCGAATCACGTAGCCAACTAGTAAATCTTCCTATCCCGTGCGTCGCGCTTTTCGTTTCGCTTCACGGCCGGATCGACGTATCGAGCACGGAAGTACGGACCTTGAAATCGGTATCGGTGGTGTACAACTCGCTCGTGAAGCTCGCGTATCGCCGAGCGTGAAAGTTTGACTGTGCCAACGGCAACTTTAATGATCAGCTGAGCTCTAGAGAGAGAGTTTTGCCTCCCACCAGGACGTTCTTCATCGTCGGTCACGGTACCCGCGAAGATGTGTTTGCTGCGCTCCCGCGCATACCTACCCATTTGCACGAATGCTTGTTGATTCGATTGGGCATTTCGATGACTGTGAAATTTTATAATTGCGTGATTATACAGCGAAAATGTTGTCATTGAAGTTTTATCGAAGGAAAGTGTTATTAAATGTGTCTCTTATTGAAACAATAATTTATTTCAATTTCCCTAGTCTTTCTCTTATACTTAGATTTATATTATATTATAGATTTCTCTTTCTCTTATTCTTATTCTAGATGGTGTACATAGATGAATAAATATAAATATGGAGAATGTACAAATTATTGAGAATACATATTATTTTTCTAATATTTAATAGAGGCGATAAAGAAAAAAAATACTATACCAAGAGCACCGTGAATAAACTACTTTACTTACATGTGCGTGATAATTTAGCAATGAAACTCATTTCAAGGATGTAATTTCTATTACTTCAACATAATGTTATCTTTTTATCAAAATTTGTTCAACGAAACAAGTGAAATTTTTCTTCGTTCTCGATCTAGAGAGAGGATAAACTTCCTTTCACTTTATTTAAAAGATTACAATTGACTTATCAACGATTACTAGCAACCATCGCCTCTCTCTTTCCCTGTTTACTCGTAATTATATACATGTAACTAGGTAATTTACGGTCTGGAATATATTCCATAGAACAAGTTTTGACTTTTTATCTTCTTGTAAGTGTATCGAGGGAAAATTAAAGTCTAACGACGAAAGGCGATAGATTAATCATATCTATAAAGAGTTCGTGCTCGAGTTAAATGTAATTTGTTGTTCGAGACTGTAATATGACATTTATACAGCTACTTATAAGCAACTTGTGATGATAATTTCGTAATTATAGATTTGATGTAATTTCCGCTTGAATTTATAAAATTTATTGCTCTGTCACTTTTCTATCTTCATTATATATTATCTTCATTTTATATTATTTCCTTGTTATATTCGAAGTGTTACATATATTCAATTACAGAATTATGATAATTTCCGGTTATATAACTCACCCGGTTGCGATTTAGTTATTTCGAAATCTCGAAATCTTGACTCTCTATTCTCTCGGTCAATGATCGTCTTTGACCGAGAAGTCATAATATAAAGTCATAAACGTACGTGAAATTGTGACAAGAATTTCGCGAAAGGGAGCGAACTCGCTACTTTAAGAATAAGGCAGATTTCACTGATTCAATTTAATGTACCGTTACATCTTGTGCAAATAAAATCTTTCAACATGATAATTTATTTGTTCAAATAGAACATAAAAAAAACGTTGATTTTTATCAATGTTATGTTTAATTATGTTTAATTATGTGATTAATAATAAAAGTTTGTTTTATTTACAAAATAAGATATTTGATATAAGAGATTTGTTTTATTGATAATACATAATTTTATAATATAATATATAAAAATGTTTTTTAATACATTATATATATATATATATATATATATATATATATACAATCTTTTAATATATCTATGCAATATATACATAAAATATAATACAAATTACGGAAATTATTCATAGAATTTCTCTTTCTTTTTTTTCTATCTCTTTTGTAAATTTCTAAAAGTTGATAATCAAAAATAGTATAACTAATTAATACATAACATAATATCTTTCTGCTATATAATAAATTCAATATTTGATCACAAAAATTAATCTTGGCCTTCACGATAAATTTTTCTTGAAAGTGAGAAAAATTTTAACAATTTTAGATTTAATTTAAAATTCTTATACCGCATATCATACATACTCTAATTAATAGCACATATAAATTACATTAAAAATAGCTCTTTCTATTTAGTCTTAAATGTTTCAATATTGTGTTTACGTAATAGAATATTTCCAGAAAATCGAAATGTATGAAGCATGAAAAAAGTGATAAAGAATGATTATAATCTTTATTAAACTGCGTAATTATAGATATTTTCAAAAAAAATATTATATATCTCAATATCTATAGAAGAAGAAATCAAACTGGCTTTTTATACTAATAATTTCCGTATATATATTTAACATAGCGAAACCAATTGTCCTGAAATAAGATAATTAAATTGTAGATGACTGAGCACACTCAATATAATATATAATTAATTTGATTTGATGCATTAATGCGCATTGGAGTGCACAAAAAGGTTGCATAATCGTGTGCTATAGATCGAAATACGCTCGTAATATATGAGCGATTAAATTAGTGAAATGTTCACAAGCTATCATGTTACTTAGCAAAATGTATGTTAAATATTTTATCGCGCAATCAAGGAAATTACGCTTTTTTATATTTCGCGAATTGTGTACGCGATAGTGCATCTAACATATTTTGCTATAAAATTGCATATGAATGAATCAACATCCCGTGCATCATTAATCAAATTTATCTTCGTGTATAAGATGATTAATTAAATATCTTGATCTTGTCATCTTTACATATATTTTGAGAATACATGAATATTAATTTGTTATTTAAAGTTAAATTTTTTTAAATTTATGTTATTCGTTATCCAATATTTGCATTATTATTTGTATCATTTGCTATTTGAATCATTTATCATTTACATTATTCTCATTATTCATACTATATTTAATATTTTAATATTAATGTAATACTTTATTTGAATTTTTATTAAAAATGTGAAAATATTAATTAACACGAACATCAATTTATGATTTAATTTTTCTTGTAATTAGCTTAATGTATTTAAATTTTTTTTGTTTTAATTTAATGTATCTTTTGGATAAATAAGACTGTTCTAACTAATGTATAGTATTGCAAAGATTTTATCTCTATTACCATTATTTAATAAATAATAGAATAATGAAAATATTATTTAGAAAAATTTTTAAATAAAAAATTAAATAAATTGTTGTTTGAATGAAAATGTATCTAATTAATTATGAAGAAATTAGGAATTATCTATTTTATATTTTATGTATTAGATGAATAAACAAATTTTGTATTGGAATGACACGCGATAATTAATTTGTCGGAAGGCGGAATATCGCAATCTTCCGACAAATTAATTATCGCGTGTCATTCCAATACAAAATTTTATTTGGTGTCAAATCATTAGTGTTTTACGACATTCTCCGGTTTTACGATTTGTTTAGCAATGCGACTGAACCGTGATATCTTCAAGATTAATCTTCATGCAAGCTTTATCATTCCACAGATCGACGCGATGCAGTGTGCATTCCATGTTTTGACGTTTCGTTGACTGTCAAATCGTCTGATTTTACAAAGTTAGATTTTTATCGCGTACGTGCAACAAACAAGAGAAAGGAAGCGTTGTTGTTGATCCTTGCTGACGTGCCTTTTCAATTCTGGTTATGATGTTGAAGCATGTCAAGATAAGCTAAATGCACACTATACATAACGTCACGTCACGTAACATCAAATATTTTCTTATGAAGCAATACACATTGATCGGACATTGGAAACCTATATAAAAATATTTGACGTTAGGAACAGTGTGCATTCAGCCATACTCGTTGAATTGATCAATTTGAATCACTATGATTTAGGAAACCTATGTGTATAGGTCTAATCTCAATCTACTCTTTCCTTATCCTGTTTTTTTGTTGTTTTTTGTTATCGATTAGGAAAAAGAAGGAAGAAAAAATAGATTAAATGAGACGATTTATTTTGTGACATGTGATCTGTTTAGTTTATGTATTCATGAAAGAGAAATCGTCGAAAATATGCATGAAAATCTGAGTTCACTAGAATGACATCACACAATTTACATCACATGTACTATTATAATATGATGCACTTTCCATACGCACAAACTGTATGAAAAATTCAGAATATTCACATAAATATTCACAAATAAGCTTCTTGTTACATCTATAATTTACATAAATCTATGATTTACATAACATATATATATATACACATACATTTTATTTTATTTAGTAGCCACACGTTTTTACATAAATATTTACATAAATAATATTGTTTTAATCTTTACAAATAGCTAAAAATATAAAATTTAAAATTTAAAAAAGGATAATTATTTTCAGTTTTTCAATTTGGAAATACTTTTTCTTAAATAATAATAATTAATATAGCCTTTGAATTAAATATTGTTGTATTTGTTTAAAATCTCGATATATTTTTACAAAATTATAATTTTTCTCTCTATCACGATATTTATTTGTAATCAAATCTGCATTTTTACAGCATCAACGCTGTGTACATTATTTAATTAATGACATGTTCTTCGCGTGCGATTTATATCGAATAAATTTTATTAACTTTAAACGAAAATTTAGAACGTTATCGTATTCACCGCAATTTTTCACACATTTTGCGACTATATATTTTTTTACAAAATTGACAGATTAAAAGCGCTCAAAGCGCACATATATATAAATAAAGTATATTTTTTATCTGTGCTAATAATCAACATACATTGCAATTTATATTTCTTAATTTACTATATATTGCAATTTATATTTCTTTTATGTCTTTATTATAATATATGACAATCGTATTATTTACAATATACAATGCATTGCGAGTCTTTTATATTTTACGTAATGCATGGTCATTTTTTTTCATTTAGAGAAATACAAATACTAATGTTAAATTTTAGTCTTTCCAATCATACACAATTATATACAATTTCAAATAATCAAATATATATAATTTCAAATAATACAATTCACGTTTCTCATCATTCAAAACTCCAACAGTGTGTAGCTCCTTGCAAAAATCAGGTGAATCAAGTTTTCCATAATGCGGTCAAATCGACTTCATAAGAAAAAAAGGAAGCATCGTTTTAAAACTTTCTAAAATATCTGCCTCTTTTCAGGGTCATGGAGAGAAAGACGGAATATCGCGAAAAAAATATCTTTAT